GAATCGGCGCCAGCCGAGCCAATTAGCGGTCGAGAAGGATGGAATGCGACGCAGGTCACGGAAGCATCGTACTTTTTACGATGCGCTGATATCTCCTTAATCACAAAATCTCGCTTTCGAAGCACGAGTAAACTTAAAATCCTTGAAAATTAGAAATCCATATGAAATTTACCTGCAGGCATACACGCTTTTCCATGTTCCACATCCGAAGGCTGCCATCATGGCTTCCTGATAACAAATACAGTCCATTAGGGTCGATAGCCAGAGAAGAAATCCCTTCGACATGAGCAACAGCACTGTGCGTTAGTTTTCCTTTAACAAAATTGAATAGTAATCAGAAAATATAAAATATAAGAAACCGATTGCCGAAGGTACAGACCCGTGTGGTTATCGAAATAGCGAATCTTGCGATCATCACCGGCCGTAATTGTCAAAGGCATTGTTGGGTGAGAAAGAATTCGAGTTATACGACTTCCAGGAGATACATCTAAATGTAAAACCTCATTTTTGGACCATATACTCGTCAACGACGGTTTTTTAAATGACAAACAAATCAAACGTGGTGATAACTTCTGAAGGGCTGCACGAACAAGCAATTTGGCCAGATCCCCCATTTTACTCGGTGCAAGGTAGTTTTTAATCTCCTTAGAAAAACCCCAGAGATTCCCATTATTCGACGACGAAGAAACAGTGAAAGAGATTTCAGAAGGCTGTTCTAGATTAAAATGACTTACATGATGGCAACCTATAAAAATCTCGACTTTTTATTATGAGAGGTAAATAAACGAATTGCCAATTAGATACTGCAAATCAGATACACGGAAGGGACGCTGACCTTCTCCAAAATCAAACGTCAAGATGGTTGCACCCGTTTCAATATCGGTAATAGTGGCCGTCGATGATGTATAAGCGGTAAGAAGTTGGCTTGGCTCGGTAGACACAAAATCAACCGATGTTGGTATGAGTCCAGCAGTAGGAGCATCCAAAGATCGTAAAAGGGGTTCTCCAAAGTTACCTGAAAACCACAAAGACTCGTGGAAAGCCAGGGTAAGATCTTCAGGAAGGGGAGCGAAGTAATAAATAGCAAATACATGCGTACCTGGTTCCCAAAGCCTCACTGTGCCATCGGAAGAAGCGGAAACAAGTCTGTTATCCGAAGAGTGATAGGCAATGGACCAAATCGCATCTCGGTGCCCACGCAGACGCTCGCTCAGCACTTTAGGATCTACAGAAAGAGTTATGTTGAATATAAAAGCTCCATTATTCTCATCATTCTACTAGAAGATTATTTGTAAGTAAATAGCAATTTCCCTTCATCTTGCTCTACGATTTTAAGTACCGCCTGTTATACACACTGCAAACATTGCTAAATTTTTCCCCAATCCGTTTCTTGGTCCTATGTGCACAGCATATGACTACATCCTTCTTGACACTACACATATGACAGTGAGAACTTAAACCCTCGTGAATTACTACTAATAAAAACGGACTGGTATTAGCGCAAAAAAAA